GATTCCAGGACAGCCAGGGCTACATAGAGAAACCCTATCTTGAAAAAATTCAAAATCAAAAAATAAAAAACAAGCAAACAAAAAAGGCAAACAACAAACTTAAAACTGTAATTACCTCATGACCCAGATACAATCACTCCTGGGGAAATACTTAAAGGACTCTGTGTCCTATCAGAGAGATAAGGTCATATATATGTTTATTATTGCTGCAGTATTCTCAATAGCTAGGAAATGGACTCAGCCTAGATGTCCACCAGGCGATGAGTAGATAATGAAACTGTGATACATATATACAACGGATCTTATTTGACTGTAAAGGAAAGTGAAATATTCAGTAAAATGGATCTAGGAAGTACCATATTAAACAGGGTAACCTGGACTCAAAAAGACATATACCACATTCTCTCTCAAATGTGGATCCTAGCCTTTAATGTGGATACATATATACACATGGGTGTTAGTGTGAGTATAGGCTTGTGCTTCTCAACTTTGGGGTGAGAGATCCCAACTCAGCATTTTTAGACCCCTAGCGACTAGCCCATCACAGAGTGACTTGCCCTTCTGCCCTCTCCTGAGAAACCAGAAACCTCAAGATAAACCTATAAGATAATCCTCCCTTATCCAGGAACTAACTCACCACATTCCTGCTCAATGTTTAACTGTACAATGCCTAAAGAATGCTTGCTTGAGATAACCTTCCTGTTAAGACATAAGCTATCATTTAACTTCCTCATCCGTTATGTTTATGATGTTTTCCTAACTCTCCAATTCAGTTTCTCCCCTTTAAACCTGCCCCCCCACTGCAGTTACTAGGGGTCGAAATCCTCTGCCCTTGTGAGGGTCATGAGCTCGGCCCCAGTGCACTGGTTCCCCGAATAAACCTCGTGTGCTTGCAGCAAGAACGGTCTCTCTTGAATTATTGGGGCATCAGTTTATCCCGAGACTTGAGTGAGGGTCTCTCCACTCTGGGGGTCTTTCAGGGGTACAACACTTTCACGGGAATCACATATCAGATATTCTACATATCAGATATTTACATTATGATTCATAACAGTAGCAAAACTACAGTTATAAACCACAATGAAAATAATTTTATGGTTGGAATCACTGCAATATGAAGAACCACTGGGTCACAGCTTTAGTATAGGCTATGAAACTTGAGAGAGGATCGTGTGAGAGGAGAAAGAGGGACTGCAGGAAGGACGAAAGAGCACAGACGACATTAGAGTAGAAGGGAGACTGGATCGGGAGGTCACGAGGGAGCAGAGAACAGAGAAGGAAGGGGAGGAGGGCCAAGAGAAAGACACTGTGTTTGAAGACGACATAATCACAGGCTGAGAAGACCACTCAGTATGGAAAACATCTGCTGTGCCAGTGTGATGACCTGAGTTCGGATTCCCAGAATCCATGTAAAGCTAGACTCAATAGAGGGCTGTGTTCTCAGTGCGTCTACAAGGTGGAAGGCAGAGACCAGAGGATCCCTGGAAAGTCATGGCCTGATACCTTTCTGTATGTTGACAAGGGCCCAAGGATGTCCTCTGAGCTCCATACGTGTGCACATGAGAGAGAGAGAAAAAGAGAGGGAGGGAAGGAGGGAGGGACGGGAGAGAGAGAGAGAGAGAGAGAGAGAGAGAGAGAGAGAGAGAGAGAGAGAGAGAGAGAGAGAGAGAGACTTTGAAATTTCATTTGTGTTTCATTGTGTCTGTGTCTCTGCATGTCTGCACCACAAGCATGCCTGCTGCCTGCAGGGTTCAGAAGAGGGCATCGGACCTTCTGGAAGTGAAGTGACAGGCAGTAGTTAGCTGCCCTGGGGGTTCTGGAAATTGAACCTGGATTCTCTGCAAGATTAGCCAATGCATTTAACTGCTGAGGCATCTCTCCAGCCCCAAACTCAGTGTTTTGCATACTAATTTAAAAAATAATTTTAAGTGGGGATTATGAATTCTTTTTCCTTTCCTCTCTTTCCTTGCCCTAGATGTAAACATGATAGCTGGTATACAGAGCCTTTTTATGTTTTAAATTAAATAATTTAAAATATCTTAACATTTTAGGCTTATTTATTTTATGTTATGTGTATTGAACTTTTTGCCTGGAGATGTTTATATGGACCATGTGTGCACCTGGTGACCATGGAGGTCAGAAGAGGGTGTCAGATCCCCTAGAACCAGAGTTATGGACCACCATGTGGGCACTAGGAATCGAATGTAAGTTTCCAAAAGAGCAACAAGAGCTTCTAACTGCCAAAACAACTCTTGAGACTCCTAAAAAGAGCTAGGAAATAGTTTTCACTATGTTGTCCAAACTGCTCTCAAAGTGATCCCCCTGTCTGTCTCCACATGACTACACGTGCACCAGGTCGTGATGCCTGGGTAAAAGGCATTATTGTTCTTTTGGCATGACATCGCCTGACTTCCTGATGATTCCGAACTATTTGATTTTGGCCATGGAATATGTGGGAAAAAAGTGTTTCTTTCTTGATTAAACTGTTGTGTGTGTGTGTGTTGGTTAGATAACTTCTCCTTCAATAACACACATACACACACACACACACATTCACAAAACATTTAACCAAAGGAGTGGGGAGAGCCCTGTTGACCACTTCCTTCCCTGAGAGTCTGCAAGTACCCATTTATCCTAATTTAAAATTTCACATTAGCCATCTGGTAAACTGTGTGGCTACTTATCTTGGAACTCACCTATCCTTTCAACTCCTCCAATAGCGTTTTATCTTTGTAGTGAAGTCCCTTGTTATCAAAAAGCTCTCCAGGTCATCAAATACTTTCTTCTAGAACTGCAGTATTTCCTGGCATGTGTTTGCTCCAGTAAAATGATCAGTGTATTAAAAGCCGACGGGGCCTCTGCTGGAGCCAGCAATGGCACTGCAGCTCCTTGGTGGCATGTGAGAAATCTGTCCTTCACATAAACATTCCTCTGCAATACAACACTCTGCCCCTCTGTCCATTACACACGAAATGCTCAGTGTGCTGGGAATGCTGGGAAAGGGATTCTGTTTTAGGGCCTTCCACCACACCAACCATCACAACGCTAGAGCCATAGTGGACTTCTGAAATTAGTTTTAAAATCCCTTATTTTACACAAGACAAAACTGAGGCACAGATTGGCCACCAGACTTCCTTATTGTAACTTGGTTGAATTATGCTGGGCCCATAAACAGAACCTCAGGATCTTACTTTAGATCCTGGATGTTTTAACTAGTTTGTTGTGTAACTGACATCCCCATAGTAGACTTGGAAAAGCTCTTTCTTCCTCTTTTTTCTTCAAGCTATGTCTAACTTGGCATTCAGAATAGGTCATTCTGCGGTTGACATTAACAGGTTGTCGTCTAAAAGCAAAGAGTATGTTGTAAAACAAATGGTGTGTCCAGTAGAACTAGAGAGGGCTTTCTTTCCAGACTATATTCACCGAGAGTGCTGTCTAGTCTGCCTCCTCCTCTTCCCACATAGCTAACTCATGATGCCATTGAGTGCTCAGTCGAGCTCCCATCCATATACGAAAATTCAACTTGGCACAGTGTTTGTTAGGACTAAGTCGGACCAGCTGTGTCTGGGCCACAAGGGAGATTAACAGAGACAATGTGGCTGCTTTGGGGCAAATTGTATCAAAAGCACACACCATTAAGGCATGCAGGTGGGTGGCTTTACATATAAGCAGATTTTAGCCCTTGGTCTGAGGTGTCCTGCATATGGACAGGGAAAGCAAGGGGTGCTGTTTAAGGTAGCCCTTTTGATAGGCCACGTCTCTCACTAGATCCTCTAGAGTTTCAGGGGAAAGTGACCAAGTCTGATGCCAACTGAGACCTTCTTGGGTTAGGTTTTCTGTACCCATTTGCCATATTTATTTACTTATTTGTTTTTGTTTTCGAGACAGAGTTTCTGTGTGTACCCTTGGTTATACTGGAACCTGCTCTGTAGACCAGGCTGCTTGAACTTACTGTGATCCACCTGCCTCTGCCTCCTCAGTGCTGGGATTAAGGGCGTGTGCCAACACCTTCCAGCCCATTTGCCATCTTAATAATCATCTTTTTGTTTATTCATGGTGTTCCTGATAATCTGACTTTCTTTACCCAAGACCCACATGTGTAATTCAATATATATATACATATACATATATATACACACACACACACACACACACACACACGCACGAGTGTGCACACACACACACACACATCCCCACAAAACTATGTAAACATTCCCACACTCCAGTTCTGGAACATTTTCATCATTGTCAGAAGGAGTCCTGAATTCATGAGCATTCAGTCCTGGTCTGTGGCAATCACTAAGCTATTTTCCAACACTATGCATTTGTCTATTCTGGATATGTCACAAAAGTGGGATCGAATAACATGATCTTATAGCTGATTTCTTTCATTAGTGTAAGTTCTACCCACGTTACAGCATATCTCCTTGCTTCATTCTTTTATATGCCTGCAATTTTTAAAAGAATATTTCTTGAAAAATGCAAATGCATTGTATCCTTTAATAGACATCTTTGATATTCTTGGTAGAAAAAAATGAAACAAGATAATTAACTTGGAATTCAGTTTGACTGATTAACACTGGTGTAGAAATGCGATACAAAACATGTAATCTCAGTAATTAAGAAAGAAGGAAATGAACAACGCAATATACCTTGTTTTTCTTTCAAGTTTCAGTGAAAATGAAGAGAGAAACCAGGCTTACACAGTATGGTTTTCATTTATTTAATCACCCAGAAAACTCCGTGCACCGCTGAGTCGGCACATGCATCTGTCCCTCGGACAGAAAAGAACAGGGGCGAGCACGAGGCTGCAGCCGAATTTAGAAAGTTAGAGGTCCTTGCATCTGCCACACGAGATGGACAGGAGATTCCTTCCAGCGAGGGAGCAGAGCACAGACAACAGATGTGAGAAAGGTCCCAGAGCTGTCAGGTTTCAGCATCCCTGTGCCGAAGAAGGGAGGCGCCAACATGATTGATGTCCAAGGGCTGTATAAAAGCGCTCGACATCTCGGCAGCTGCTCGTCACACTGACCCCCGCTGTCTCTTCGCTCTTCTTGGGGTTTCTGTCAACTGGTGCTGGAGGGAGAAAAAAACTCTTTGGAGAGTAACCTTTTATTGTGGTCATGCCAGAACCCACTAAGAAAGAGGGTAAGAACATCCATTTCTTGTTAAACTCCTTAATATTTATTTTGGTGCTTATTTTCAAACAGGTACCTAATTTAAAAAAACAGACTATAAAACAGTAGACTTAATGGCATGCGAAGATAAAATTCTTGACTGTGAAAAGACCAGAAGAAAAATGTAAGACTATATAATCAACTGAGAAATATCTGATATAGTTTATAAAGCAATATTGATTCCAATGATTAAATGACAATTCTATTCTTCGATTTTAAGAGGTCCTGAAAATGCTGAAATCAAAGATATTAACTGCTTGTGGGGAGGAGGCTGCATTTTCAAGCTCATTTTCCTACTTTGCTTCTCAAAATTCCCACCTTGTTTGCAGTGTGCAGGGTGGGGGTGGGGGTGGGATGCACTCTCAAACACTTGAAATTCCGTCAAGTCTTCAAATAAGAATGTGTGATATTGTTTGTGGTTTTACTATTTTTCCCCCCCCCAGGAAGGCATTTAAAATATACAGACGGATTTGATTGTCACTTTGGGAGCTCAGCTTTGAAATTCTTGCTTGAAAAGAAAATCTTTCTGATCATGAGTGGTAGATTAAAACCTCTGCTGAGTTTTGTTACATGCAATTTCAAAATACGTAGCCTTAAAAAAAGATTAAGAAGAAAAGAGGAAGCCAGCTAAGGAATAGTCTTCATTAGAAGACCCCTTTCCATTCAAAGATTGGTATTTTAAAATTGCTAGTTAATAATGTAAACAAATCGGTGTCCGTGATTGTGAAAGGTGCATTCATCACACAAATACACTGACTAATTCTTAGTAGAAACATCTTTTATAACTACCACCTCATACTCTGGTTGTTCTTCACATGATATAAATCTTTCACCCTTTACTAACGATTACAGGGGCGTGGAATACATTTGAGTTTCAAGCCAAGTTTTGACGAGCCAAGTTTTTGACAAGCCAAGTTTCTGACGCTTTGCTTCTTTGAGACTAATAGAAAATACAAATATTTAAAACAAATCAGTTTCATCAGGACTTTTTACCCTTTTTTTTCTCCTCTGCAGATATGAACATACTTGCATGCACACACAGATACACGCACACGAGATCAGCAGAGAACATAAAATTCTTTTAGGCCTTTCATTTCATTTTTAATTCTTAAAAGTGCTTGTTACCATTATTTTAAAGAACTTCGTAAAAGATACCAAACGTTGAACATGACGTTGGGATACTAACCAAATGATGAAGAGGCTTTTAAGTATTTTTCTTTATGTAATTAGGTAGTCAGTGCTGACAGGTTGGGTGATCAGTTACAGGTTGGCCCTACTTAGTGGCACAGAGCATTGATGGATGAAATCTTCCTCCCAAAATAACCACACCAAATGCATGCATTAATATGGGAACTTAATCCCAACTGTGGGGAAGTGTGTCTAGCTCCTGCTAAAGTGTCGCATTTGTGATGCAAATGATTTACATGTGCAGTAAATGTCCCTTTTATTCAGTGGTCACTTGACTTGCCTCTTGGAGGCTTACTCGGATGAAATGTCTTTTAGGATTCCTAATTGCAAACAGAAGATTATTTTAATTATTCTGAATTTCCTTTGTTGTTTGATATCCCAACGGCAAATGACAAGCAAGCTGGAAGATTAATACGTAAGGTTGTAGGCTGCAGGGCCGATAAAGAGAATTGAATGGTTCTGCTTGCTGGGTGCAGGGAAGTTTTGTGTTTGGGTTGGCAACTGGATCCAACCTAGTCTACACTTACAGAGAATGAAGTCATAGAGCTAGGGAGAAAACAGTAGGTTTTTCTTTTCATATATTTTATACTGTATATTTTATACATTTGAAAAATAAATCCACATGAATACTAAGGTCTCCATGAGTTTCTTTGGCTATCAAAATCCTTTTGATTTTCTGTGTAGGAGTTCCACCACCCAGGACAGTAATCTTATACCCATAGATGCTTTGCTTAGTTTAAATTTGGATGGTGGGAAGTGGCATCCCAAAAAGTATCAGTGATATATTTAAAACCCATCGAGGAAGTACAGAGATTTCCTCTTTTTAATTCCCTTACCAGCAGAACTGATCATTAAAGTGTCAAGTTTGCCTTTATGAAACTGTTGCTTTTAACAATCACCGTCATTTACAACCCTAGAATGTGGTAATTTCTGTGCTGTTCTTATCTGAGGCAGCTACACCCTGTACATGATTTCATATTAGCTACGATTGTCATTCTTCAATCGAAGCTGCCCTATGAACAGAGAATAAAGTGTGCCTTGCTTCAGAACTGCCTGTAGATACTCCGCCAGCCCTAGGGGATCTTTCTTCTCCTCCCCACCCTTCGAACACCATGCCCATAAGGGTTGGACTATTGCTGTGAGCCTTGACAGGATCTGGCAAAGAGACCGAGTTTTCAGCACCTAAATGCAAAAGACAACTCACTTAGATGCTTCCACCCTGCAGTGGCCTAATTCTGGAACTGTCACATTAGTTCTTCAGGGAGTGGGTCATTCTAAGGAAGAGAAAGACAGGGACAGCTTTGGACCCCAGGGCGGAAGTCTAGTGCAAAGAACTAGTCTGTATGAAGATATTTTGGCTATCTCAAGGACTCCGTTTGGAAACAGAAAGCGTCTGTTCCCTGGGTGGTGCTGAGGGTCAAATCCAGGGTCTCAAGCACGCTGGGTGTGTGGTCTGCTGTGGAGCTGCACCCTTGCCCAGCCAGGAGTAACTGCTTTTCACCGCCTTCCCTCCATCCCATCGGTTGCATTCAGACTACTGCATTACCTATTCCACGGGCCTACCTTATATTCCGTATTCATAGAGATTCTGAGACCACTATGTTTTTCTAATCAGATGGAGAGAAAAGATGCTGAAAGGAAGCTTCGGCCGTTGGGAATCTCCCAGAGTGCCTTGCTAACGGATTAATTTATGTATCAACTATTAACTAAGCACTGGTGTTCTCCATTTCAGAGGGGTATGTAAGGTGACTTCTTCAGGCCTTCAAGGAAAATTGCTGCTCTGGGTCCTAACATGTAAGGAAATAACCTGCTGCTGGTTATTTCCTGTCAAAAAGAAACTGTCAACATAAAATCAACAATTTCAATAATGTTACTTCTTGGGATCGAATCTTTACTAGCTTAGAAATACTATGGGTTGGCGAGGCGGCTCAGCAGGCAGAGGCACTTGCAACCAAGTCTGGCAGCCTTCGCTCCACCCATGAGACCTACACGGTGAGACGAGACAAGCAGCTCATCTCCACATGCTCACAGTGGCACACAGACACACACACGTGCATGCACACCCAGACACACACACACGTGCGTGCACACACCCAGACACACACACGTGCATGCACACACACATACACACACGTGCATGCACACACACAGACACATACACGTGCATGCACACACACACATACACACACGTGCATGCACACACAGACACACACACGTGCATGCACACACACAGACACACACACGTGCATGCACACACAGACACATACACACATGTGCATGCACACACACACAGACACACACACGTGCAAACACACACATGCATGCACACACAGACACACACACATGCATGCATACACAGACACACACACATGCATGCACACACAGACACACACACACACGTGCATGCACACACAGACACACACACTAAATCAAATGTAATAAAATCTATAATAATACAAATGACCCTTAAACACATAAAAAGCTGTTGAACCTCTGTGGCATGTCATGGCAGCCACAAGGCCTGGCTCTTTAGAATCTGCACATGATTGTTCACTGTTGTTAGATTCTCTGCAGTCTTGAAAAATTCTTTTCTCATACATTGAGTTGAGGTCTCAACTTGAATTTCACTTTGGTCATATTACAAATCGAGTGCTATTGTATTTTGCATATGAAACTCGTCCGAAGAAATCAATAGTTCTTTTTGGTCCTGCGTGTAGATCAAAATACCTGTAGGAGTCATTGTAGCTTTCTCCTTTCTCGAACGCTAAAGACACAGGACAAACACGGGATCACTTACAACAGCAACTGCAAAGGCGTATTCTCATAACTCCAGAGTCAAAGCCTGGCTTTTCGGCTGCATCGGCAGTCAATGTAAAGTACCGGCTATGTCTACTTGGGTCTTTTTCTGAGGGGACAGGCAGGAACATGGTCACAGAGACATGTTACAGTCCAGAAGCCCTCCCCGCTTCCTCTACTTTCCTGTGGTAATTAATGTTTTGCGGAATATAAAAACCAGTGTGAAACCGAAGAGCACCCTTCACCTCTTGCCCATTTCTAAGCATGACTCTGGGCTTAGTCATCATCAGAAGGGAAGCACAGGCATGGCGTGCCTCCCTCTCGCATGCACCCGCTGACCTTCAGTCTCCACAGCTACTGACTGGCTTGTCTGAAGTCCCCAAATACATCGGATTTGTGAAACCATATATATACACCTTTCGTTAGGGGGAAGCTAATGATTTATAGGAAACAAGATAGAAGAATAGAGAGAATGGAGGAGGCTTTTCTTTTAAACTGTTTTCCTGCATGACCATGTAGGTCAAATAAAAGACTCGGATGAGGAGTGTGCAAGCTATACTGTGAAGTGTGTTTTGGTGACACAAGCCTACACCCCAACATTCAGGAAGCTGGAATAGGAGAATGCTCTGGGGAAATACACCCTGGAGAGGCTCGATGCTTGGCAGAATTCTCTCTCAGCGTCTGCTTTTATGATCCACGTACTGCACCTGTCAGGAGATAAATAAAGGACAGGGCGATTCTTTCCTCTCAAGCCCTCTAAATAAAACGCTTTAAAAAACTATAGGAGAACAAATTGTGTCCTTGCTTCTCCTCTAGTCAGTCTGAAGAAGTCTCTCTCTTGCTTCCAAGGAATTTCAAATAGCTGAGAAGGCAAGAGTAAGAGATTGGTCAAATGGTCAAATGCTCGCTCTTGTCTGGGAAGCTTGAGGGACAGGAAACCTGTCAACCTGTTGAGGACTGAGATTTTTCTCCGCGGCTTGCTTTATT